CCAGGGCCTGTGTATGCTCAGCAAGTGTTCTGCCTGAGCTGTGTCTCCAGTCCTTTCGTATGGTATTTATTTATTTATTTATTTACTTACTTACTTTTTGATTTTTGAAACAAGATTTCACTGCAAGCCCACGTTGGCCTTGGACTTGCAACCCTGCTTCCCCCGCATGCAAAGCAGATGAGATTACAGGCCTTTAGAACTCAGAGTGGTTTTTAGTTTTTGAGACAGTATCTATATTTCCCTTAGTTGGTGATGAACTTGCAATCCCCCTGCCTCAGCTTCCCATGTAGCTCAAACTGTAGTCCTGTACCACCAGGCTTACCTGGGCCACTTAATTGTTTTTCTAGGACAAAATACACGTTGGTAGACGCAGAGACAACAGGAAACTTTCGTTTAATGAACAAACAATTTTTTTTTTTTTTTGCAGAGACTGTCTACATCACATTGCGATTACAACATAGATGAGCTGAAACTATTTTGTGCAGATTTAGAAGAAGGGAACCCTAAAAGGAAATCAGGCATATAGAGGTAGTTGAATAGCATTGGTGGGGGAGGGAGCGTTATCTTAATTTCCCTTCAACTCATAGCTGTGCAAAGGTAAAATGGCTGCTTAACAAACAAATGGAAAACAAACACACATACACACTTGCCACTGTTTAAGTGGCTTGTGTGATGTTTTAATCCTGGCATTACAGAGAAATGCATACAATAATGAGACTCATTTATCTAACATCAGCCAATGGTGCCACACCCAACTATTTGCTCTTTTGAGCTCACTGGTTGTCTTCATCACTTGAACAATAAATGAATGTCAGCGGATTTTTCAGATAATGCACAAGGTACAGTGTTGCTTTGTAAACTTCTGTTAATCACATTTGTGGCTGCAAACAGTTTTTTTTTTTTAATGCTACAAAGTCATGAAACCAAAGCTTTAAAGTGACACCAGGAACTGCAGTTCCAGGCACTTCTCTCTGGAGGTTAACTTACCATGTTTGGAAACACCCACTTCTAAGTGAAGAGCTCTTCATTTCCCCTGTGGATGTGTAAAATCCAGAGTATTAAGTAGTTAAGCGGTGGAGTGGGTGGAAGCCACCATTCTAAAAGGAATTGAATGTGTACACTGTGCATGGCTCCTTTCCCTTCCAACTCTCTGTACATTAGAAACACCAGAGAGCCAAGCTCGTGCCCTGTACTTTTCACAGCTGTCTCCCACCCAGAATCAAAACTTCATTCCTGTGGCCCCAGCGTGGGCTCACAGTGTGCCCATTTCAACCTTGATGAGTAGAAATGGACACACAGTCAACAAGCTGGGAACCTAAGGCATGGATCTATGGCTAAAATTCACATGCTGGAAATGGAGTTGGCACAGGGAATGCAGGCCCCGGTGGCTTGCAGGTCCATCAACAGGACATGACCTGTTGGCCGTAAGCCAGCTATGGAAGTTCTGAGGCTTCTGTGGCTAGTCACACTCCACAGGCAGAGGTGGCAGCACCGCATGCGCCATGACTCAGCTCTGCTTTGGAGGCCACACTGAACTTGGAGCAGCTGAAGGCTGCTACTGGGATAGTTCTCTGCCCCCCCACAAGTGAGGAGCAAATACCCCTTCCTTCAAATTGTTCACCCAAAAGTAGTTTCTTCCTTTTTCACTTTCTACATTTTGCTGGTTTTTAGCTAGCAGCAGTAGTACAGTACAGAGCAGAAAGGCATAAGGTCTGCTTGCTACCTAGTGTATGACACATACACACACACACACACACACACACACACACACACACACACACACACGTCTACAAGGAAAGGACTGGGTCAGCCACGAAGTCATGGTAGAAAGGAAGACTAACCCAAGAAAGTGGCACTGTCTACAAGGGGGAATCTTGTCCTTCTGGCTGAGAGGTCGCTTTTATCTCTATACTTATCACCACTGCACTTAGAAGCAGAATCAATCTGCAAGTACTAAAAACAGTCAAGTCATCTGATTTTTCCACTCATGTACATCCCGAAGAAAGTCAAAGCCTACTATCCTGCTTCCTGCCATTACTGAAAGAAAAAAAAAAAAAAGCTGGCTGGAGAACAACCACAACATGGGCCCAGGATGCTCAGAGGAACGTGCTATTTAGCCCAGCCAAGATTTCCATGTGCTCAGATTGGATAACTCTTATCAATGGGATTTTTATTAAGAAGCCAAACTTTCCTTTTCCCTTAGATTAACAAAAGCTGTGTTGGGCAGCTTCATTTTACTTCACCTGGAACTTCTCATTTTGAGATCTTTGGGTGTTTTGTAATTTGACTGGCAAATCTATTGAATAAATCATGTATAAAACTACTGACAGATCTGCTATGTGAAAGGTAAAGAGTCAAGCTTGGCCACTCATTGGATGAACATGTTACATAGGCATATTCTTCAACATTGCTGAGTCTCTCTTTTCTTATCCATATACAGGGTTAACAATGCTGTCTAAAAGGTCATTTTATGTGTTTAGGTGAGTGAGATCACTCAGATTAGTACATGGTAGGTTCTCAACACTTCATTGCAGAGCCTGTTATTTGGGGCAGCACAAAGAAATACCAGTAGGTATGTGCAAAACCCAAAGATGGTGGAATCTAACTCTTTTGGTAAAGTTGAAATTCTCAACACCTTTTGAAGAACGGGAAGAGATGGTTTGGTTATGCCCATGGAGCTAAAACTTAAGGCCTCCATTCTATCAGGAATTCTAGATTGCCCAATACAGCATTACATTTTAGCCCTCATTAAAATGGGCTTAAAAATTGGTATAGGAATTAGTCCCTTTCTCAAACATTCATTTGTTCTCCAGTCTTTTCATTTTCTTTTTATTTTGTGTACTTTTATGGTACTGGAGATAGAACTCAGTGGCCCATGCATGTAAGGCAAACACTAGCAACTGAGCTGTATCCAGTCCTACTTTCCTAGTTTTAACCTCAATAGGAGTTACTTGTAAACTGTCAAGTATCAGTGGTTTGGATTGTCCCAATCAAGCTTAAAGTGGATGCAAGTGAGTATTGCAAGTAAAGGCAGTGCTTCCTGTAACTGTAGACCATTGATGATATTCTACAACACGGCTGGTAACAGTTACAGTTTATATATCCCATCGACAAGGCACTGTGCTAAGTAATTTCTGACATGGTCCATTTAATGTTCCTAAAAAGCCTATATGTTACAAATATCACCACCATTCCATCTTTTAATAAAAATGTAGAATGCTATCCAAATTTGCATACCATCTTTGCAAAGGAGCCGTGCTAATCTTCTCTGTGTCATTCCAATTTTAGTATATGTGCTGCTGAAGTGAGAACCAGTGCCGTCTCATATATGAGGAAACTGGGCTCAGTGCAAGTTAAATTAATGCCGAAGTAACACATGTAGTAAGTGAAGAAACTTTTGAATCTTTTCACTGTTGTGTTTGCACTAGAGAACAGGAAACAATCATACTAGGACTTTGCCATATGGTTGGCTGTCAGGCGAGAGGGGAAAGCATCTTCATTTCCTGCTCTCTGAACCTTCTAGATTTAACTCAGATAGGACCCACTCCTGTATTTCCATTCCCCACCTTGTATTCTTCACTTGCCCAGCTTATTCCATACATCAAAGCTGGTAATGCTCTGAGAACACAGCTTACATAAGCAAGTGAAGATGATCGCTGACTTTCTGTTTACATGAGTCTCTTTTACAGCATCTGGAGATCACCTCTCTTTCACACAAACCCCACCTCTTTCATTGTTTCTGGTGGTCACAGAGAAACCCAGACTGTTCCCTGAACCTCTCTCCCTCTCCCTCTCTCTCTGAGTGGAGGGGCTACAGGTGAATAATGCACCATAGCTGTCCAAAATCACGTGGGAGTAGTTAGCATAAGAAACAAATGTGCAAACTCACTTAATTCACTTTGCCTGGCTCTGATTTGACTCTATGCCATTATAATACTCCCACACTAGCTTTTCCAGGTTTCTCTGACACCCAAAGACTCAAACTAACACTAATCAAGCTAAGAAGTGCTTCTTCTACCTCTTCCTACCCATTCCCTTCCTTTTCTCCCCTACATTGAAATCTTTGGCCCATTGTTACCAGCAGGGAAGGCAGTGTTTACATAAAATTCATTCATACAGATTTGAAAGTGGATTCTAACCTATCTGATTTCTTTACACTTTTAAGAAGGAATAGCCCCTCAAGTACTTCAGCAGGTGCTGGTACAGGTCTTGATGGCATTCTGATAAACCAGGTAAATATGAATCTTATCCTTCACTGCACTGGGAAGAAATGAATACACTTGTAATCAGACTGCTTGAAAAAAATACCTCCAATAGATTGTAATAACACTTCTAATTCATCTCTCTATTCTTGAATAATTCTTTCGGCATTCTTCTATATTACACATAGAAAATGGATTCTTTTACCTTACTCTAGCACACGCCACAACTTATACCAAATCAATTATTTTCTATCGCTTAATTCAAATGGAAAGAGTGGACTCTGTGAAGATAATTTACCTTAGAACCCTTCCAAAATTCTTTGAAACTTAGTCCACTAGGATAGACATGAACTATATAAAAATGGCCCAAGAATTGGCACTAATTCAGCAAAAAGTAAAGAAAGAACATTGCACGTATTTAGTACTGTTATTCCCCCTACATATATAGTCAACCACGTCAATAAATAAAGCAATGGTCTTTTCGGTAATGTACACTTAAATAGTTACAAATGTACATGTAGAAAAAGGACACAGTAGTGCAAAAAATAAATTATTAAAACAGAAAGAAGTATGAACATTATTTTACACAATGCTCTATAAAACCTGAACCATTTGAAATGAGACGTCAAGTCAGTGGAAGGATGCAGTGACATTAGTATCTCTGCTTCACAGTTCAACCACACAGTCACTCAGCTATGTCAGGTAAGTCATGTTTGACTTTCAGAAAAATTGATGCTAAACATGAACTTTTTTTCTGGACTCTTCTACACCTCTGGCTGTTTGTATCAAAAAGAAAACAGAAAGTCAATCAGGCTACCTCCTTTTTGTCTTCCTACTCAGTTTCTGTGTGGTGAAAAAGCAGAGTACCATCTCTCTAGGATATACTATCTTCTGTTAAGGTGTTATTGCAATTAGACATATTTACAAGAACATCGCCCTGGAGCAGTGGAAAGGGTGGAAATGCCTCTTCCACAATCTGCTCCCATTAGTTTTGGTTTCTGGATATAAAGGCCAGGATTCGCCGAATACCATTGAGTCTATCCTTTAAGGACCTCATTGCTAGGAAGGGGAGCTGAGCTCTGCTTTCCAGGGGAAGAACCGCTAATGTCCACCAACACCAGGCTGGGCCATTCGGATTAACCTGCAACAGAGAAACACAGTTCATTGATCCTATTCCCATGCAGTCCATAGACAGATGTTCACGTGCATACAGTAAACACCCCATATGGAACCACTTCTGTATGTGCCAGAGACTGCTCAGAGCCTCCCTCTCTTCTTTTTCTCTTCTTTTATTTCAGCTGAGCATACAGCCACATGGTGGCAGGGGATAGGGGATGCTATTATTTCCCAGTCTCCCTTGTGGCCAGGTAATTCATAGACAAGATTTTGGCCAAAGAAAAACAATGGAATCTTGAAATTCTCAGGCAAATGGATGGAACTTGAAGAAACCATCCTGAGTGAGGTGACCCAGTCACAAAAGAAGGAACATGGTATGTACTCACTCATATATGGATTTTAGACATAGAGCAAAGGATCACCAGCCCATAATTCTCATCGCTGGAGAAACTAGGATAAAAGGAGGAATCTAAGAGATTCACACAAGGTCCCTCATAGGAGGGGAAAGGAACAAGATCTCCTGAGCATATTGGGAGTGGGGGTGGGGAAGTGAGTGGAGAGGGAGTTAGGAGAAAGAGAAGGGGAGGAGAAAAAAAAATGTGGGACCAGGAAGATTGAGTCAAGGGATGGATAGACAAGAGCAGAGAGAGAGAGATTATAGGTTTGACAAGAAAACAGACTCTAGAGAAATGTCCAGAGACCTACAAGGATGACTCCAACTAACAATCTGAGCAACAGTGGAGAGGCTACCTTAAATGCCCTTCCCCTATAATGAGATTGATGACTGACTTATATGTCATCATAGAGCCCTCATCTAGTAGTTGATGGAAGCAGAAGCAGACACCCACAGCTAAACCCTGAGCTGAACTCCCGGAATCCAGTTGCAGAGAGAGAGGACAAGACCACACTGCAGAAACACACAGAGACAGCTGACCTGAACAAGGAGGAGCTAACAGGCCCCCAGACTGATAGCTGGGAATCCAGCATGGGACTGACTCAGACCCCCTGAACATGGGTCTCAGCCAGAAGGACTGAGCAGTCTAAGGGACCTCTGACAGTGGAACCAGGATGCATCCCTGGTGCACAAAAGGACTTTGTGAGCACATTCCCCATGGAGGGATACTCCCTTAACCTAGAGACAGGAGGGCCTAGTCCCTACTCCAAATGACTCGACAGATTTTGATGATCCCTTTTGGAAGGCATCGCCCTCCCTGTGGAGTGGGAAGGGGCATGGGAGGGAGGGAGAGGGAACTGGGATCGATATGTAAAATAAGAAATATATATATATATATATATATATATATAGAGAGAGAGAGAGAGAGAGAGAGAGAGAGAGAGGTGATATGTGTAAGTTCTGAGTCGTATTCTGGGAAAAGAGCATGCAGCCTCTGCCTTCCTCTTTCTTCCTATTGCTTCTCTTTTAATATTTTTTTGTTTATGTGTATGGTGTTTTGTCTGCATTTGTGTCCATGTGCCACAGAGGGCAGAAGAAGGCATGTGATTTCCTTGAACTGGTGGTTTCGAGCCACTGTGTGGGTGCTGGAATTAAAGCTGGGTCATCTGGAAGAGCATCCAGTGCTCTCAAGCAATGTCTCCTGCCCCTCTCCGTCTGTCTAGTAGCATTGAAACCACGGTGATGCTCAGTATTCAGTCAGGTAAGGCAACTCTCTAAAGATGGCAGAGCTCTGTGATGCAATAGCCCGCGTTCCTGAATGCTCTCTTGAAATTGAAATTGAACCACCTTAGTCCTCCAAGACTGGGGCCTTCTCTCTTACCACATACCCTATGCTCCCTGGGCAGTGTGATTTTACAAGTTGGAGTACCCACTATTTTGTCTCTTCTACTTTTAAGTCTCTGGTTATGTCCTTTGGACTGATCCATTTAAAATCTATGCCCCATTGGAGGCCTTACACTTTCTAAGGAATAGTTTGGGGTGGGTTGGGGGGAGGTGTGGAGGAAGCAGGAGAAGGAAAGGGGAAGTATGGTTGTTATGTAAAATGAATTTAAAAAAACAGAATAAAATTCCAGCCTTTAATCCTACAACTCTTTGAGCTTGGCACGTCTTTTTCACACTCATCATTTTCTTACTTTGGTGGAAGGTTGTAGTATAAATGCACCATGTCAGAAACAGAACCACAACTACCTTCTTCCCTGAAACCAAGAGCTATGATTTCCAGTCTCAAAGACCAGCAACTAACCATTCCAGTTAGAAAATTCATTCCTGTTAATGCTCAGGTTTTCCTTTGATAAGACATTTCTCATCCCTCATGAAAATTCTCTTTGTCATCAGCTTCCTGGGCACACATTTTAGACGTTTATTACTAAACCTCAAATGAGTTTTCTTCCCACAACTTTCAAAACGAGTCAGCTTTCCAGTTACAGAAAAGCACATGCTGGTCTATCTGCTTCATGTGTTTCTCCCTGAATGTCCCTGAGCACTTGGTTTTTCTGTGCCTGTAGCCTCATCTGAACACCCCTTCTCTCTCTCTCTCTCTCTCTCTCTCTCTCTCTCTCTCTCTCTCTCTCTCTCTTTCTCTCTCTCTCTCTCTCTCTGTGTGTGTCTGTATGTCTCTCTCTCTGTGTGTCTCTCTTTCGTGTGTTTGTGTGTGTGTCTGTATGTCCCTCTCTGTGTTTGTGTGTGTCTCTCTCGTGTGTGTGTTTGTGTGTGTCTCTCTCTCGTGTGTGTGTGTGTGTGTGTGTGTGTGTGTATGTTTGTACCCCACTGTAGTGTGCAATGTATTTTCTCTTACAATCACTTCTGGATACCAGGTTGCTATTCTCAACTTTTTTTCCCCAGGATACTTAAGCTGAGGTTATTACTGTGGCTCCTTCTAAGAACCCTCCTACCAAGGTACAACATTCTTATTCATGGAACTTCTTAGGGCTGCAGGATTAGATATAGCAAACTGGATGCATTTTTGCTGTTGCCACCACCACCACCAAGGCAACACGATAACAAAGCTAATGAGAAAGGAAATGATTTGGAGGCTTGCTGTGTCATTAAGGCCTTATGAATCACACTGGGGCATCTTTGTTTTCTCCTGTGGAAGATGTGGTTAGCACTGTTGATTTCTATCTTTTGCCTGGCCGGGAGACAATGTTCCCCAGCAGGTGAAGGGGAACATTAAGCTTGAACATGACCTTGTTCCGAGTTATGCTGTCTTCTTGAATCACCATAGCCAAGACCTGGGTCACCAGTAAGTACTTGCTGGCCTCGCTCTCTTTAGAAAATGTGAGTGATGCCTTTGTACGGTGGGAGAAGAGCCACTTTGTGAGCTGGAGGCAGCAGGACACTTGAGGCCATTAAGAAACAGATGGGCGTTTTGAAGCTTCAGAATGGAGGAGGAGGAAGAACTTTAGAGTCTCTATGTGTTAGGGACTAGCAGCCAGCTGACCCCGCCTGGGCGGGACGCTCATGGCCATGTCATTGCTAGCTATCAAGCTTTACCTGGAGGCCAGAGGATTCAGTTACGCATGCGCAAGCCCCCCTTTTTAAAGCAAGCGCACCAAGCGCGCTTCTCTCTCTCTCTCTGGCCCCCTCTCTTGGTCTCTCTGCTCTTTTTCTCTTTCTCTCTCTCCCCTGCTTTCGGTTGGCTACCAGCTTACCCCCCTTTTCTCTCCCCTCTCTCAATAACCTCTACGTGGGCGCTGAGTCTCGTGTTTGTGTTTCTTAGGCATTAATTGTATCAAAAGAACAACACTATGATTCTGTTTGATTTTAGAGAAAAGTTGAGAGAGGGAACAGGATTTGCCCAAGGTCACACTGTCTGAAAGGTAGGCAACACGATCTTTAGTCAGAAAGGTCAGAATTTGTATATAGAGCCAGGTTCTTCTATTGTGATAGAATCAGGAATCACACATTAAAAAAAAAAAAATATCAAAGAACTTCCAGGAGTGATTCTGAGGGACAGCCAGCTTAGAATAGGGGAGAGGTAGCATTAAGATCTGCTTAGGCCATCTTTTATCCAAACTGGAATTCCCCAAAAACTGCCTGATTGAAAGAAGACAGGCAGGCTAAGTGTGGTGAAGCCCACCCACTTTCCTAGTGGACTCTGGATCTGAAGCTTGAGCTCACAGAGATCTGTTCCTCAAGGAAGAAGTGCAGTGCAGTAGAACCTAATGAACTATGTCCTGGGGGTAAATTTTCTCAGACCTGCTCAAGCTAGAAATAATAGCAAGGGTCTAGACTTGCAGGGTATGCATAGATGGGCGGGGTAATGAAGGTTTCTGCAGCTAGACTCTTGGGTAGTGTGGGTGATCCTACCTCCTAGCTCCTGAAGGACTGGAGAAGGGGACACAAAGCTGGCTGGAAGTAGCAGCATTAGTTGTCATCTCTCTTACTGGCAGCCTGGCCTTTGCATGTATCCTGTCACCCTAACAATTCCACGCGGTGGGTTTGGACTCCCATTGAACGTTCTTCTGCTTGTGCTGTTGGTGTTCCCTTTCTCTCGCTTCTCTTATTTCTCAGTGTTTGTCTTAGTTCCAAGTTCCTACTACTTACCTTTGTTAAGCCAATTCTGATTTGGGATCCTTTTGGTCTTACCGATGATGCAAACTACCTAGCTACACAATACTGTATTGGATTTGTCCTCTTCTCTGCAGTTGCCTGAATGGATGACAACCACACACCCTGGACTCTCCCACCCACCTGGTAGGACAACCTGTTCTAAATAGATATTCTTATGTACCTGGGGATCTTCATCTTTCTCTGGCATTGGACCGAAATGATTAAGTATCCGAGTCTTCAGAGATGTTTTGAGTGAATGAAACCATGAAGATGCTTGCTCGTACACACAGTTATGTAACCCCATGAGTTCAGCACAATCTTCTCCCTGAACCTGAAAATATCAAAATGAAAGTGAAGCCATCTCTACCTTTTCCATCCACCTCAGAGTTGTTTTGACATCTGACCCTCTTTTGAGAATCTGACTGGCTTTTCTGTCATCCATCTGGCTTTCTTCCATGTAAGATATGGAATACCCAGTAGCCAGATGCTGGATGAAGAATCAATATGGCAGAGAGAGCAGGAAGATAAAAGAGTTAACTGAGAAAAATGCCTGGAACAGCAAGCGTAGAGACAGCTAGAAGCTTCAGCTAGCCCGGATGATTGCATACAATTGAAGTGTATCATGCATCGCACTGGGTTATACTTTTGCCACTTTCATCTTTCATTTTCACATGCTCTTCTTTCTCAACCATTGGGAAGATATGGATATATCTTTGCCTCAGTATATCTTCAAGGTCAATGAATGTATCCATTTATCCATTAATCATGCATTACCTACTACATAAGTAATATAAAGGAGCATTGGATTATTGACATCTTCATCTACCCAATAGCTCAGAAAACCAAGAATTGAACATGTGACTTTTTTTTTCCTTTGGGGTTGGTGAATGACTTTTATTTAGGAATAGTGTTCTTGGGCAAAAAACAAATAAAATAAAAATATTTTAATCTACAATAATCTCAAAAGAAATGTATTCGAAAATATAAATCAATCCATAGTTAAAATACTTATGTGTAGACCCCAATCTAAATTTTGAGCCCTTGGTGTCCCTAGCAGAGACCTAACTCAGGCTGAATGGGCCCAGAGATTAGTTGGGACAAGCATGAAATACAACCACAATTCAGCAGCTAATTAGGGAGAGGAGGAGAGGTAGAGGAGGGAGATGGAGGACTATGGATGCACTCCAGTAGCATTCATCCAGTATCAATTTGGTGAGAAATCCCAAGCCCCCAAGACAATTCTGAGAAACCCCTTTGCAATCATATTTGTATTCCAAGCTACAGTGATAAAATGACTTTTAGGTTTTCTTGGCACTAGTCACACTTACCTTTTGATCCTCAATATATTCAATGTCAGCTGTGTTGTAGCCATCCCTCTGGCCCTGATGGAGTACCTTGAAACGTCTCTTGCCTATGCTGTCAACCACTGATCGGCCATCAGCAAAGAATTGGACATTTCTGATCTCTAAGATGCAGCCATATTCTGCAAACCTGTTTATTGAGGATCAAGTCCAGAGATAGATTGTTGATGAGTTCTATTATTTTGGTCTAGACCCCAGCCATTCCTAGCACCTTGTGCTGTTTGCTATAGGACCTTTGTGCCATGATCTACAACTGCAGCTGTATAACAGGCAGCATCTATTTAAAAAATTCTGAACTTAATGGTATATTTGTTATCATTTGTTGAGCATATACTATGTACAGTGCTATGGTTTAAAAGTTTGTCCTTCTCAAAGCTTGTGCTGGAATTTAATTGCCATTTTAACACAGTTAGGAGGCAGTACCTTTAAGTAGTGATAAGGCCATGAAGGCTCTGCCCATGTGAGTGGGTTTAATTACTGAAAGATTGTGTTCATTATTAAGAGAAGCATTGGACTTCCCTTCTCTCTTTCCATTTGTCTTTCTACCATGTTATAACACAAGGCCTTATCACATCCTGAACATTATTGCATACAATGATCGTCCTAGCGACAAAGGAGGCTGTTAACAGGTGAATCACCCATTTTGAGGCTTGCTCCAGCAATGCAATCCTACCTGGTCTCAAAATAAAATCAAACAAGCTTGTAATATAACTCAATAAGAGAATATTTGCTGTGGTAGTTTGAATGTAATGGTTTCCCATAAGCTCACAGGGAATGGCACTATTTGGAAGTGTGGCCGTGTTGGAGTAGATGTGCTTTTGTTGAAAGTGTGTCACTGTGGAGGCCAGCTTTGATGTCTCATATATGCTCAAGCCACATCCAGTGTCTCAGTCCACTTCCTGTTGCCTCCTGATCAACATGTCTGCCTGCATGCTGCCATACCCTAACATGACCACAATGGACTAAACCTCCAACTGTAAGCAAGCCACCCCAATTAAATGTTTTCCTTTATAAGAGTTGTTGTGGTCATGTCTAAGTAAGACACCTGCCTAGCATGTACAAGGCTCTAGATTCAGAAAAAACACCCAACTGTTATTAGATGCTGTCACACTGGCTGTAGACTTCATAGCCTTGATAATCATAGTCATAGATTTCTATTGCCTGTGGCAGCCCACACCAGTAATCCTTACATTTGCGAGGCTGAAGCAGGATTGCCATGAGTTTGAGGTCAGTCTGGGATACAAGGTGACATCCAGGTCAACTTAGGCTACAGTATGAAGCCCTGTCTCAAAAAATTCTATTGCTTATAAATTACTTAGTATACAGCATGTTATAGTATCCCAAATGGACTCATTTATACAGGAATCATGTTTAGTGCTTGGAGTGCATCAATAACATAATTTCTCTCAATAAGCAAGGCCTGTTAGGTAGGCATATCCTCATGTCCACTTAACAGACAAAGAAAGTGGAGACAGAAAGGTTAAATGATTTGCCCAACATCGAAGACACTCTAAGGCCAGCACTCAAATATATAAGTGGGCAATTTAGCTCTTGGGCTAACACTCTTAACAAGACAAATTTGTTTGTTTCTGTTTTTTTTTTTTTTTTTTTTTTTTTTTGTGGTTTTGAGATAACCTCTTGCATATTCCATGCTGTCCTTGAACTTCATATGTAGTAAAGGGTGATCTTAAATTTTGTGTTCTCTTGCCTACACCTCTCCCCTATTGGGATTGTAGGTGTGCAACATGACTCCAAGTTTATGTAGATCAATCCCAAGGCGCTGTGACTGGTAGGTAGGCTGTATTATAGCCCAAGCCCACAAAACAAGTTTTATAATGTATGGCACCTGCTTAATGAAAGATTATTTCTAGGGTTATTTTAAATAGGAGCCTCTCATACTGTAAAGCAGACACCAAAGGGACTATGATACTCACAGATATTTTTATGTTCTGAGCTGGCTAACCTCATGAACTTGTTGATCCCACCTCTAGAAGCCCTCCAACATGAAACAGAAATCCCTCTCTACCTAATTTTTCTCTTCCCTAGGTCTCCTCACTTACCCTTTGACAGGATCTCCAAGGCACATACCAAATTGTTTTGTGCCTGTCTCAATACATCTCCGAATCATTAGGCGATAACAAGGCTCAAAGATGTGCAGGGGACAAGGAACGGTGGGATAGGCCATAGTACACACGAAAATAGGCACATTCTTATTTAAGCTGTTGGGAAGAGAAGATGAGATGGATCTCAAACCAATGGGGCTGAGTACAGATAGTTTGGTCAAATGTCATGATATGATTCTTTTGGAGTAAGACAAGGAGTCATCAACATTTAATTGGTGATAGGAAAACACTGAAATGCAATTGATGCTGTAGGCCAAGTTCCATGATCCAATGCAGGGACTAGCCAAGTCTGAAAACCTAAACTGGCATGGCATGTATTCTAAGTTTGTTCATTAGATATCTACTACCATAATACTGTGGGTGACAGTATGCTGCTCCTTCCTTTCTTCCCCATCCCTCTCCATTTCTCTGCCCAAATGGATCAATTCAGGCACTTTGCTTGAGGTATGAAGAAGGACACTTATGGTATAAATGTACTCAGTTTTCCAGAGAGACATTAAAAACTTCCTTTGACATCCTTTCATGTGTCTCAAATTGGCCAAGACTTTCAGGGACCTTTCAGAGCAGACCTAGCTAGGAGTAGCCAGCTAGAGACCACCAAGAAAAACGTATCCCAATGATGCTCAAATGCTCATGGACGTCAGAATAACGGGGCACCCTTAAATCTAGATGACTGGGCCAACACACCTTCAGAGATACTGACGCATGCATGCAACACAGGAATCTGCTTTTCAATAAATACCCTTGAAAACTCAGGCACATGGCCATATGGCGATACCCCAGCTGGGTTAGCTCTTCATAGATTATAGTCTCTGACTCATGGAGGAAGTCCAGTGCAGGGAAACTGCACCTAAATGGTCCAAGAAATGTAAGGCCATCTGTCTAAATCTTAAAGGGGGCTAGGTCTGAGATGCCTTTAAAGAGAAAGCCCCTCAGTATGTCCTACTCTTGACTAATACAATCTTAAGTGATAGCTGAGAAAAGGACTCAGAGAGATGAAGGCAGCCATTCTCAACCTATGATGCATGACCCCGGGGGAGGGGTGTCAAACAACCCTTTCACAAGAGCTGCATATCAGGTAGTCTGCATATCAGATATTTACACTCTGATTCATAACAGTAGTAAAATTACAGTTAAGAAATAGTAACGAACTAATTTTACGGGTGAGGGTCACCACAACATGAAGAACTATAGTGAAGGGTCACAGCATGAGGAAGTTTGAGAACCACTGTGCTAAAGAGTAAAGGAAGAATTAGGAAACAGATAAAACTGTACGGACTAATTTCATCATGATAATCAATGAGAAACAAACAAGTCTAGTCTCTGAGGAAACACATGCCAAGGGAAGACATATGCACAGCAGCAGGATGCACAGTTCAGAAACAGTTTCTTCCCAGAGGGCATATAAACAGAAATGATTTTTCCCTCAGGAAGCAGTTCACTTTCACAATGCTGTGAGAAGCCTTCAGGAGGGCAGGGAGATGGGCAGCACCCTGATGTGCAGAACTTAGTTATTATTTCCTGCCCCCTTTTTTTTTTTTTGCTAAGTGTACAACAGTCAGAGCTCCTGAAGATCTGATTATGTCTCCATCCACACCCTTGGCCTCTCACACCGTGTGTGGCAGAGGAAATGCACAGTGAGTACAGGCATCATTGCCATTTACTAAGTGCTCGCTGTGTACCAACACACCTTGGTCTTTAGAACAAGTCTATAATGTAAGAGCTATTATCTTCAAGTCACTGGCAAGGAAACTGAATCCCAAAAAGGTTAAATGGCATGTCCATGACCATGAAACATACTTAGTGATAGAACTAGCTCTTAACCCCAAGTGTGGCTCGCACCACTGTTAAAGCACCCATCACCTGCTTGAAGGCATCTTCCAGTTGTCTCCTAACTAAGCTACTTCTTAACTCACTCCTGCCCATAGCATGCATTTACTAGTGCTGATATGCTTCAGGTGGCTCTGTGGTTTGGCTGATGAGCTTCTTCAAAGACATGCTGGTAAATGTTTAACAACTGCTTCTGAGTGGAATGGCGGACTATCTGTAGCATTTGATGAATTCCATGATGTAAATAGTCTCACCACAGCCATTTCAAACTAGTATTGAACAAGGAGTTGGTAACAAATGTGCACGTTTTCGTGAACTGATGTGCATGAAGTGGAAAATAGAAACAGGAAACATGCATGTACATACTTAGAAAGTTCTTCCATTTCCTCCTCATAAAGCCTCCTTCGTTCCTTGAGTTCTTCTGGCAGGAATTTAGCTATTAGTTCTTCCATTATTACATTTTTGCTATACTTTCTTGATGGCAAGCACTAGAAATGGAGCAAGGCAAAGATATATTTTACAGTCCTACAGAACAACATAGAGAATTGTGTAGCTCAGACATAGTCTGATATAACGCAGATAATAGTGTGTTGTAATTTGTACCCACAATTTGGAAGCTAATACAGCCATATATATCATTTGCATGTTAGAGCTTTGATTATCTTAAAAATATGCAATTGAACATTTATAATTAAGAGTATTTTTTAACCAAGAAGAATATTATATTAAACTTTTGAAAATCTCACAGATGACCTAAAGCTTTGGTTTTGAGATATTCATGTCTGAGCTAAAGAGGGGAGGATCATAATTCGTGTTCACCTTATCATTACAGCACGTTACAGGGATGTGCTGAAAGACTCTAGTCAAAGGTTTCAGAGAGCATCCTGTCCTGCCCTACCCTACCTCCACTCCAAATGAATGTCCAGCTTCTAGATATTTCCAAGTCTCTACATCTTAACTGTAGTCAAAATAAAAACCATACATACACTAACAGCCATAAATAGTTGATTGTATAGTTTCCAATTTATGACACCATTTAGGTATCACTGAAATTCAGAATCAGACTTAGGTTAAAATATCACTAGTTTACCCTTCCTAAACATCCCTACCATATGTATATCCAGAGATCTACGAGCATTGTGTATTTAATAATATGGAGCAAACAATGACTGCTAAAATATCTGGAAACTAGAAGAGAACCTATTACCTCCACTTTTCTAAATCAGCACAATATACTTATAACTGTATTCTAAATACTTATTCTTATACTCACAGATAAGCACAGTTCTCACCTCTCACCAAAGAAGTTTCTCTTTCCAGCAGGCAGAAACCAGTACAGAAAGCCACAACTGGTCACAAAGCAGAGAACAGTCCCCCATGGGGTGCTCATGTTCCACTGATACAACTACAACACAACCCCTACATGTAAGGCTCAGGGCATCACAGAAGAGGGGGCAGAAAGGTTGTAAGAGCCAGAGGACTAGGATGTGTGCTTTCTTCTCTATGTGACAGGAAAGTTGTACCCATGAAACCTGAACAATAACAGTTCTCTAAACAAGACTCAAACAAATAACAACACCAGAAAACTTGTCAAAAGTGTATGGAGGAAATCCCATAAGGCCCTACTCCTAGATGAAGAGTTACAGGAAACTAATGGCTGCTGGGAGTGGAAGAATCAGTCTTCTCCAGGAAGAAGCCCCCTAATTGGTTATCCAACATTAGTGGTCAGCCCTAAGAGCATATGAGCAACAATAAATGGACTCGGGATGTTGTACTTACGTATTTATATGCACACATATATGAAACAATAGAAAATAAGAGGGCACAAAAGTAAGAGGGAGTAGGGGAAACATGGGTTGGATGGAAAGTGAGAGGGGAAAAGTAAATACAGCATTAATATGAAATTCTCAAATAATGCTGAATAAAAAATAAATATCTACAGAAAATTGATTGCTGTGGGACTCAGCAGAGGGAGCTCCTGAGTTCCAAATTGCTGGCTTCAGACAATTTTGCTTCTTCCCCAGGAGTCTCTATTCTGCAATGAACATGATTGGAAATTGCAATGCTTTGTTAAATGGTGTAAGTATGGCCCTGTATGAATACAGGGGTAGATGAGAATATCTTTTAGCCTCTGAGTTTGAGATCCCATAGCTTCTGCTTACTGGATGTCTTATCAGCTACTGCCATTGCCTGGCAACAGGAAAAAAATACTCCACAACATCCAGTTCCAGGCTTTAGGGGAAAGCAGTGACTCAAAAGGTAGCCAACCTAAGGGAGAAAGTGATCCCTTCACTGAAACAAAACTCCAGGAAGTGGGCACCCTAAAACGATAACAGTGATTTTCTCTAGAGGCTGAGCATATGGTAGAGTTTTTTCCTTAGTGTGAACTTTGTGGTTTTAATACAGCACGGATGTCTTCCTTAAACAGAAGGACCATGGAATTCTTATATAAATCAGGTTGCAAATCCCATCTCTTTATCTAAGAAAAGCACTTTGCAAATCCCGATACACATTCCCAAGGCTACCCTGGATGATGGGTTCACTCCAGCTCCTTATTGTCAATGTCAGGCTCAACATACACGTCTCTGGACCTATAGGAACCTACGTCCCTATTATTCCTGAGACAAGGTCTTCCTGTGTGTCTCAGGTAGACATTGAACTCACAATGCTCCTATCTCATCTTCCCAAATTCTGGGACTACCAGCATGCATTCCCATTCTCTAGAGATAACCTGGCACCTGCAAGCTCTCTTCAAGAATGATAAGCAATATTAATGCTGTTTTAAAGCTGAGAACCCCAAGTCTCTGAAGGAAAGAAAGCAAGACAGATTCCTTTCTTTTGCCACAGGAAACCCCATAAGGCACACTTGAAGATGTAAGCTTGTGTGGTTAATTTTAAAGAATCTGAAGTCCTCAGAGCTTTACAAGTTGCCAAGTAACTGCTAATAAGAACAGTGGCTCCTGAAGAGTTGAAGAAAAACCACACTGAGAATCTGAGAGGGTTCTTTGAGGGGGTTGTGGCTGGGCCTTAAGCAGCTGACCTCATTAAGCACAAATAAGCATCATGGTGCACAGAAATCAGAGCTATCTAGTTCAAGGAAAGCGGAAACAAAATTCACTCAAGATTGTTTATTCGATACCACAATGGGACCAGAATCAAGATTTGTGTTTATCATCTATTTCGTGTTTTTGTTTCTAACACAAATGAGCTTCATTTGTTATTGAAAAGCTAGAAGCTGCCTCATTTTCCTGAAGGACTTTGAGGAGGAAGGATGTCTAGGAGACAGCAGAAATAAACAGATGGTAAGGGGGTGTATTTTGGTCAAGCACAGTACAGTGACTTAGGATCCAGTTGAGCACGGAGTTAATACAAAATAAGCTAATGCAACCAAGGAAGAAAGAACAGTTTACCTGTAAAAGAACGTCTTTGCACAGTGGACACTTTGCATTATGATCTAGGCATCTCTCAAGACATTTCAAGCAAAAGGTGTGCCCACAAGGTGTTGTGACTGGCTCATAGAATAATCTGAAATTTAGGAAATGAAATAGGAGAACACTGTAATAAGATTAAAAAAAAAAAAAAGACAGGGACATTCATGGTTAAGTTTTCACAGAACTGTTGGTCAAAACCTGTGGGAGGGGTACACTTTTTGCTCTTCATCACTGGTACTGTTACACCTCAGGAAAGCATTTTCCTTTTCATTCCTGAACTATATATAGAAAGATACATAGGTTCAGATTTAGGGCATAGCTAAATCATTTTGTAACGTTAGTCCCAGCGTTTTCCTGTCAAGTCCAAGAAAAATTCAGATTAGTACTCAGAGTGTCTGCTACTAAAAATTATTTAGCCAGCCTGCTTACCTGAGTATATTGTAAGCACACAGATACACATGGAGCGATACACACATACATGCACACACATAGACCTGTACATCACATTACTACGAGGAAAAATTAAATTTGTTTGCTAATTTTATTCTTTTATTCATTTAAGTGACAAATGGTTCCTGAAGGATCTTACAACTGTAGCAAACATGTGCCTGCCTTTTTTGTGGATAATTTTATTTGCAGTAATAGGTAATATTGTTAATACACTTGCTCCTACCAATAGATACATGAAATATGTGCATATATCTACCTATATTCTCACATATAAAATTATATTCAGGTGTACCATATTTTCAATAGATCTCATTTTAATTGCATTTGGGAGGGAGGATATTTTTTAAATCAGTCTGTTTTGCACACTCAGAGGTGTGTAGATTTACTTTGTGTAAGGAGAGGGTCACCCAAGAAGTGATGACCAGGCTGGAGAAACCCACAGAGACAGCTGACCTTTACAAGAAGGACCTCAAGGACCCCAGTCTGATAGCTGGAAATCCAGCATCGGACCAACCCAGACCTCCTGAACGTGGTGTTAGTTGGGAGGACTGGGCAGTCTATGGGGCCTCTGGTAGTGGATCAGTATTTATCCATAGTACACAAATGGACTTTGGGAGCCCATTCCACATAGAGGGACACTCTTTCATCCTAGACACATGGGGGAGGGCCTGAGCCCTGCTCCAAATGATATGGCAGACTTTGAAGACTCCCCATGGAAGGCCTCACCCTCCCTGGGGAGCAGAAAGGGGATGGAATGGGGGTTGGTGGAAGCAGGGGAGGATGGGAGGGCGATGGATTTGGGATTGACATGTATAACAACCTTGTTTTAAATTTAAATGAAAAATATTATCATAAAATAATTTAAAAAGAGGCTCAGCTGAAGCAGGACCAGGAGTGAGGTGATCAGCTGGTGGTGACTATAATAGATGGAACCATTATAGATTTAAGGAGAAATCTGGCACTAGGGAAATGCCCAGAGATCTACAAGGATGACCCCAACTAACAATCTCAGCAATAGTGGAAGGGATATCTTAAATGCCATTTCCCAATAATGAGATTGATGACTACCTTATATGCCATCCTAGAGCCCTCATCTAGTAGCTGATGGAAACAGAAGCAGACACCCACAGCTAAACACTGAGCCGAACTCCTGGAATCCAGTTGCAGAGAGGAAGGAGTGATGAGCAAAGGGGTCAAGACCATGCTGGAGATACACACAGAAACAGCTGACCTGAACAAGGGGGAGCTCATTGACCCCATACTGATAGTAGGGAAACCAGCATAGGACCAACCCAAACCTCTTGAACGTGGTGTTAGTTGGGAGGACTGGGCAGTCTATGGGGCCTCTAGTAATTGATCAGTATTTATCCATAGTATACGAATGGACTGTGGGAGCCCATCCCACATAGAGGGATGCTCCCTCAGCCTAGTCACATTGGGGGGGGGGCTAGGCCCTGCTCCAAATGATTTGACAGACTTTGAAGACTCCCCGTGGAAGGCATCACCCTCCCTAGGGAGCAGGGGATGGGTTGGGGTTTGGTGGGGGTAATAGGTGAGGAGGGAAGGGTATGGCAACTGGGATTGACATGTAAACAAGCTTGTTTCAAATTTAAATTAAAAAAGGAAAAAAAAGTGCAGTTCACATTTAACAAGATGATGAGCACAGAGTAAAGGGAGACAAATCTTGATCAGCTTCTTTTGAGTTCCCAAGAGTGCTCAATTTAGAGCAAGAGGTTGTCAGCCTCATAATATATGGTATCACACATATTTAATTAGAGGTCGATACAAGAAGAGATCAATGATTTGAGGAGCAGGAGGACGGGGCACAAGAGGAGTTGGAGGGGGAAAGGGAGAGGTGGAAATGACGTAAATACAGTACTCAGATATAACATTCTCAAAAAAATCAATTTTAATAAGAACTATAAACATTTGGTGAGTCTTAATACAACCCAATGAGTTATTTTATTGGTTGATTTGTTTGAGGAAAAACTTGGCAAGATGTTTCTAGATGCAATATGGAAATGCAAAGGGCTGCAAGCCAAGACAAATCTGAAGAACAAGGATGTGGGAGGACTTGGTCCATCAAGCATCAGAACTTATTACAAAGCCATGATGATTAAAACAGTGTATACTAACACAGGGATAAATAGATCCATGGAACAGAATAGAAAGCTCAGGAATAGACCCGGGCTTAGATTCTGGACTTGTGACAAATGTAACATTTTAAAACAAGGCCATAGGAGGATTTTTAATGCAAAAAATAGCATTCTGTATAAATGCTATAAATCCTATAATGGCTATCTGTACTGGGAAATGAAAGTAGTCCATCATTTACATCATACTCAAAAAACAATTCCATGTGATCTGAAAAAATAAATCTGAACAGAAAAACAATGCAGCATTCAGAACATAAAGAGAACATCTTTATGTCACAGAACTAAAAATAAAGGAAACTCAAAGAAACACTAAATATAAATGAAAAGATTCCTGATTTCAAGTGCTCTAAAATTAAGAGTTTTGAAGTTTATCTAAAAGCATAACTAAAAGGGTAATCAGGCAAGTTACATAGCAGGAGAGAGTGTTTGCAATACACAGGTAAGAAAAAGCTTGTATCTAAAATATACCTAAGTTTGTAAGAAAACCCACTCAAGCAGTAGGAAAAATAAATAACTTAGTAGAAAAATGGGCAAATACTGGCACATGCAAAAGCAGTGGCCATCCATGACATTTCCAAACTAGAGCCAACCCAAGCATCCACCTAGGATAGAATAGAGACTGTGGACACTCACACGATGAGGACTATGTGCTAATTAAACTGAACAAACTTCACTTACATGTTGATACTGAGTTTAAAAGAAGCCCTCATCTAGTAGCTGATGGAAACAGAAGCAAACACCCACAACTAAACACTAACCCGAACTAGAATCCAGATGCAGAGGGGGAGGACAAGACGAGGTTACAGAAACACATACAGTTGACCTGAACAAGGAGGAGCTAACTGGCCTCCAGACTGATAGCTGGGAATCCAGCATGGGACTGACTCAGACCCCCTGAATATGGGTCTCAGCTAGAAGGACTGAGCAGTCTAAGGGACCTCTAACAGTGGAACCAGGATGTATCCCTGGTGCACAAAAGGACTTTGGGAGCACATTCCCCATGGAGGGACGCTCCCTTAACCTAGAGGCTGGGGGGGGGGGCTAGACCCTATTCCAAATGACTTGACAGATTTAGACGACCCCTCCTGGAAGTGGTAGTTATGGCTAACTCATGGCCCAGATTACACAGCTAGCTAGTGGACAGAAAGTTTGGAATGTTCTTCCTCCTTCAGTCTACAAGACAGCCAGGACTACATGCATCCATGTTTTCAAATCCGTTCCAGCCAGCCAGCCAGCCATCTGAGCATGCACTTTCACAAGCACTTTTCTCCTCCCCTTTCTGTCACTGCCCCTCCTTTCTCTGCTCTCTAGAAAGAAAGACACCAAGGGGTTTTTTGTTTGTTTGTTTGTTTGTTTTTCCTATGAAGGTACAGGCAAGTACTAGAATGTCTGTCCCTTTTCCATTTAAGATAAGGATTTTGAAAACACTTCAGGGAGGCAGTTATAAATCAGAGCAGGGCCAGCTTGTGTCACAAGGAAGCATTCCACATTATCAGAGTGACAGGCGTAAACAATAGTAAGAAAAAATGCCCTCCGTTGTTAGATGTCAGTCCAGATAAAATGTCTGGCTTATCTGAAAAGGGCTATCTTTTCCTACCAGCAACAGACAGCCTTGCACTGTGTTCTTTTGCTATCAGATTATAGCAAAGAGAGAAAAGGAAGCGGGAGGGAAGAGAGACAGAAAGAAAAGTAAACTGCCTTAATACCCAGTGACTTAGGGAGCTATAACTAGATTACATAAAAAATGATCCTTTTGCTTATCATCAGTGTCACTGGGCCACCAGAGAACTAGTTCAGGTAGCAAATATTCTCACTTCATATCTCAAAATGTAGTATCATTACAGCATTACAGCAGCCCAGGATGGGCCCCAGTGGCTAGGGTGATAATAACATGCCAGGTAAACCTCAAGGAGAATGTCATGCCTCCAATGATTGCAGGGCAGGGTTCTGAGGAGTTGGGGTTAGGGGAGGCATCCTTTAATAGAGGTCTTCCAGTTCAGCAATGGAGACTTGGAGACTAAAATGATTTCATTGATATGCTCTCCAATTACCCTTCCGTTAAAAAATAGGGCCTCATGTAGCCCAGGATAGCCTTAACACACTGTGTGGCCCAAAATGACCTTGACCTCTTCACCCTCCTATATCTATTCTCCAAATACTGGGATTACTTTGTGCACGTGTGCCACTACACCTGGCCTCCATCCATATTTTCCCTGTGAAACTTAAAACCCAATCAACTTTCTCTCTAGAATCAAAATGTATAAATTCATGGTTTGTCTAACTTTTCTCTGCCAGGGCAATACCACAGACTTAGATTTCAGTCTAGAATCTTAAACAGATGGTACAAATTTCTAATTCATAGCCAAACAGCTTGAAATTATCTGTAATTTTAGACCTGTGATGATTAATATCAATTGTCAGCTTGGCATGATCTAGACTCACGTAAGAGATGAACCTCCAGGATGCTTGTGAGAGTCTATCTACATTAGTTTAGGTGGAAAGGTGCATTTTAACTGTGGCAGTGTCATTCCATGGGCTGGGATCTTAGACTGACTAAAAAGGAGCCAGTGAACTGAGCTGAGTGTTGGCATTCATCACAGGCTGTTTCCTGTGTATTGTGAAATCAATGTGAGCAGCAGGACTCCTGATCTTACAGCCACACTTTGCCCACCTGCTGTTATGCCTTCCTTACCATTGAGAGAATAATCCAGGCCAATGGTAAACCAGAATAAACATTTCCTCCCTTAAATCGCTTCTGGTCAAATATTTAGTCAGAGCAACAAGAAAAGTAACCAAATACAAAGCTTCTCCTCCAAAGACACATGAGGGCCAAAACAAAATCCAACAACAACCCTGACAAAAATAGCAATGGCTACAAGTGGGCAAAAAAACTCTTCACTGCTAGGAAAATACAGGTGGAGGCATCTACACAAAACAAATTCGGTCAGCATCTGATGTGTAACTGACAGACAAACCCTATTGGAAGAGAAGCTGCATGTTTCTTACCAAGGGCTGAAGTGTTAAGAGCTTCAGATCAAAGAGCCCTCTAGGCTAGCCAGGTTTCTTACACCACAAGGCAGTGAGAGTCTAGCTATAATTTAGTAGCCTACATAACAGCTACTCTGGGCAAAGATGGAATGAGGGGTCAGGAAGAGAGACACAATGGCTTTTAAGCTCAGGGGGGTGTGAACTACACCGGGTGCTTATACTCTGTGTGTTTATTTCTTGGACCAAATTCCTAACTCTTCTACAAAGTCCCTTGTGATTAGGGACAAAGAAGATGAAAGAGGAAAAGAAAGGGAAGAGGAACAAAGGAATTTCAACCCCGGGATTTTTATTCCACAGGGAAAACACAAACAGGATGAGTCTGTATGTTTGATTTTGTGTTGCTGGGATTTTGGCAGGAGTGTTAAGGAGGGTTAAGCAGAACAAAGACCCGCTCTTTCTGAGTAAGCTAAATGAAATCTACTTCACAACGCCCATCATGGGGTTTAGAGATGCAGCACTGGTGTGGTGGCCAAACAGCCCATTCTCTGATTGAAAGCAGCTTTTGGCTATCTTGTACCTTGGCTTTAGCATGATGCACTTACTTCTATGTTGCGAGGGTCTGGATGAGTGGTAGGAAGGGTCTGCTTCTACAGTTCATCCCTCTCTAGTCCACACCACCTAAATAGACTCCTGACAGTGTGTTTGAAGCTGAGTTTGATGACATCTATGCTGTGTCTGCTCAGCTGGCTGAGACCTGCTTATGCTTATGAAAAATCTTGCTGTTACAGATTATTGTTAGATTACTATTATTGTTGTTGTTATTGTGATATTGATTATTGAATCCAGAACCTCATGAATGGTAGCAAAGTACTCGGCCATTGAGCTACTACTCCCCTAGATCCAAGTATATTTTCTCTAAGAAAAGTCCATGGTTCAGGTAAGAGTTGCTGTTTTCTTATTCAGATAATAATAAAAAAAAAAAAGTCATATACACTCACATGACCAAAAGGAAAGGAATAAGAGCTTGCAAGGGACAGGCAAACATTTGTTCAAGTGTATCGGTATCTTCTTAATACTTTTGTAGACAGTCTTAATACTTTTGAGAATCTAAAAAAAGCTTCATACTTTTATCTCAGAACCCCTCCCCCCCCACACACATACACTTTTACAAATCACTTCACTGAATCCATGGATCTATTTGAATGCATACATAGAGCTTCCTCAGAGGTCTGTGGTTCTAACATTAAAGACATCTGTGTATGGGGGAAAAAAACAGTTAATTTTTTTGATTACTTACTGTTTTCCAGGCACTATGTAGGCATTAAATAGCTTTTCTGAATTAATCATCACAACCTATGAAGTTCATTCCACTGTTTTCTACTTTACTAAAGAAAAATTAGTGACAGCAAATGTCACTTGCTCTAGGACAGAGTCTGTAGATGGAAAGAGCTCAGGTTCAAACATTGGCTTCAGAGCGCCTTCTCTCAGCTACTAAATCACAGCTATAAACTGAAATACACTTTTGAATTTCAAGGTGGTCACTCAGACCACAATCACAGAATCTGTTCATTTGTTCTTGAAGTGGCATATATGTATAATCAGTTCTTCAGAGACCTGAGAAACTAGAGATAACATACTAGCTGGAAGGAAAATGCTTGACCAAGTATCACATGTATTGCTCTTTAGACTGCATGAAACACAAACCAATTTTGCCTTCTATTTGGTTCTCAAAGAAGATGTGTATGCCATTGTTATTAACCCCTGAGCCTTAAGTTCTTAATTTAGTAGTTTAGATTCAGGGTCACAAGTTCAAATACCTCTAAGGCTCAAACAATAATGTGAGACAGGCTGCTATAAGTTAATGGGATCAGGACCAGCTAGAAAATATAAGTCCAGTTTCAGTATAGCCATATATAACAAAATCAAATCTAATGAGAACCAAATAGGCATGCTCAACTTGTGGCCTTTGTAGTCTTGTTTTTTTACCTTTGTTGCCTTGCTGCTCCCCAGGTCTTTCTAAGTCAGGATTTAAGGATGTAAAGGACACCATTTATAAGCTGGGGACACCAGCAGTCTTACAACATGTGATTTCCATTTCATCTGTGCAATGATTTTACATACTAACCAACTCAGTAATTACTAGAGGAAAGGCCCAGATACCAAAGAGAGGGAAAGAACAGGCAGTGATGGCCCATACCACATACCTCATACACAGTGAGCATTCAAGGTCAGATGCATCAAAAGATGCAAGCGGAATACTGATATCTGGTTTGGCCACCTCCTCAGCAGGAAGATCTGTGATTTAGAAAACAGTAGGTCAGGGTTCGATCAACCTAGTTTTACAGACAGTACTTCTGAAGAAAAATAAAGAGTTTAACTTAGTGGCTTCCTAAGCAATTGCCAATGGTATTCCCTAAAGTGGCCTCCCAGTGGTGCTTTAGCAGTCCCCATAGACAGAGAAGTTTAAGTCTAGAGTTTCCTAGGAGCACATTCCAATTCAGTAGGCAGGTCATTCAGAAGCAGCAGCAGTGGCAACTTCACAGACTGAGCCATGTCTTCCAAGCTGATATTTGGTGCTGCCAACCTTTCTTGGAGAGATAGGAAGCCATAGCTACTGCTTATCAGAACACAACTAAGTGAGACCTGACCACACCTCTCCCATCCTACATTCCCAGACCAGGGATGAGGGCAGGAAATGGTTGGCCTGGAAGAAAGTGACATGATGCAAAGCATGGGATGGCATCACTTGATAGGGTCCCTGCCCTGATGTCTTGACTATGGATGGGGATTATCTTGTAGCAGCACTTTAAGTGTGATAGGTACCCTGCACAGGCTCACAGAAACCCTACAGCAGCCCCTGGGATTTCACAGCTGGTAAGTGCTAGAGCTAGGCTATAAACTCAGAGCCAGAGGAGGCCCCAGACAGAGGATAAGTACATATGTCAGTGAGTGCACCCATCTGCAATAAGCTACTGTCTCCCTAGGCGGAATTAGTACCTTGTTTGGAGACTTTATTAGGCACGTCTGTGTCTTCTTGGATTTCATCAATTTGACAACGGTTCCTTTTCTTTTCCTGGCATTTGCCGGTCCTGATGGAGGCAGCATCCTGCTTCTCTTCTTCCTGATCTCTCACATTGTATTCTTGACTACCCACCTTTACTTGAGCTGAGTTCTCCAGGCTGCTGCTGTCTCCCACAGCTGCCACTTCCTCCTGACTAGAGCAATGTGGAAGCTCTGGATTTTCCTAGATGAAGCAAAAGCCAGATATCAGAATTGACTTGAGACCAATATTGTCCTCCAATAGTCTTACCCTGAGGGACAAAGAGAAAGCAACATAACCCTGATCTTTACTCCTGGACACTCAGTGGATACACAACTCAACAGAGGGGCAGTCATGACGCGTATTGCTCACATCCAATCTATGCCAATGACATGCCTAGCTTAAGTAGAGTTAGGGGACTTCCCTAAGCATGGACAAAAGGCACACAGAGGAAAAGCTCCCTGGGCAGGGGTGAGGGGGGAACTACAAGGGAGGTACCACTCTTCCCTCCAATCTAAACCATTTCCCAGTGCTCTGTAAGGAAATCAAAGCACTCTGTGAGGGGATATCCTGTTACTGGATACTTCCTCTCACCCTTGCTGTCATTCAGAGCCATTTTTTTTTCAAAGAACTTTAGGTGAGACTCCAGAACTATACGCTATTGTCATCAAAGCAATAGGGGACAATCCATTCCTTTTCCTCAATTTCAAATGAAAGGTCTGAAAAAGAGACAAAAATAATTTGGCATAATAGCTTGTCTCTAGCCTTTTAGAGGACTTTGTCCAGGAGAGGGATATTGGAAAGTGGAACTAGGAATAACTCTGAAGGCATTACGCAGATTGCTTGTGAAAAGCTCTCTGTAATATCAATCCATATTTGACAGCAAAATTCCCACCTTCGTTGCTTCCCCTCTACCCCTGCCAGAAACTCCAGGGAACACGGGCAAGAGGAAACAATGAAGTGGAGAACAGAGGAGAGGACATGGGTTTTCTCGGTCTATGTCCCTGTAGGTTTAGCATTTTTTAAACACTAAATTAAACAATACTCCAGCCTTGACTTTCCATGAGCCCAAAGCACACCGTCCACATAAGAACACAAGGCCTTGCAAAAACAAAGTTCGGGTGGAAATGTGCTCACTGCTTACCACCCCCTTACCCCCACCCCAGTCTGCTCATACTGAAAAGCCAGAGGTTCTGTTTCCTTAATTTTAGACTGAGCTGCAAGTGGAAGTCCCCACTCCAGGCTCTGGGGCCTAGTGTTAGCTGTCTTAGTCATGTACTTATGACCACTGGGGGCCCTCTGATTTCAGCAGACACTCTAAATTCTGCCTTTACCAAGAAAACTCAGCTGCCTTGCGTTTTAAGCCCTCTTTAGAGCAGGGACGAAAACTGGGAAGATGTAAGTATCCAGGGCTTATATACAAGCGAGGAACTTCAGGCACAAATGGAGAAGAAACTGCTCCCCAAAGGTGCCCAGGAATTCAGTGTTAAACCCTGCTTCAAGTCTGATCCTTTTGAGCCCCGACTTCTGCCCACTTACCCTGTGCTAGAAAGGCCAGCTCTTGAAGCCAATCTCTCTGTTTTCTGTTCCCTTGTTTTCCAAGAAAACCACAAGTACTTGTCTTTATTCTCAACTCAATTCTCATACCTCTGCTTTGCTATAAATGTGCATGAGAAGCCTACTTATGTGTAAGGTCTAGTGCAAGAACAAGAAGTACTCTCCATTTGCTCCCCAAATGGAGTTACCCTTGCACAAAGCTCTCACTGGTGCTCAAAGGCCATCAGCTTGAATCTTCCCTAAAGCTGAAACTCATAAGCACACCCTAATTACAGGGTTTTAGGGGAAGTGGGCCAATCTCTTTATACTTCTATTGACTCTCTCTATTTTCTGGATCTGACCAAGATTACAAACAAATTAATAAACAAACTTTTGAACTATGCCTGAAATTCCCAGTTGTAACTTTAAGCAAAGGACACAGCCATTATTGACTCCATCTTTCTATATTTTCCCCCTCAGGAACCAAAGTAGAAGAGGTAGGGCTCACTTCTCGTGTGCCCACAAAAGAGCCAAACGAAGCATCATGAACGAGCTAGGTGAGTTGAGTTTTACCTGTGACAACTTTGGTAGATTATGGCTGGTGCCTTCAGTAGCCATTGACTCTACGTGTTCCTTTAATCTAGGGTGAGGTGCCAACAGCTTCAGGATATCGGGAGAATGTTCCTGAGAATCCCCCGGGACTGATGGTGAAAAGAAACTAAAGAGAAGCTGTGACATAAAACAGAAGACTTCACTACTCAAGTTTCTACAGGTGCTAGACTAAGGTGAACGGGGGGAGGGATGGGGGACCAGAGAGCACAGCTTGCAAGGCAAAACTCCAACGAGGAAGCCTTGGAGCAGTGTCCCTAGACACACTAAGGAAAGTTTGTTGCATCAACACACATCAGAATCATCTAGGAATGGGGGAGGGATAGAAAGATTGCTTAGTCATTAAAAGCACATACTGTTCTTGCAGAGGATCTGAGTCCAGTTCCCAGCACACATGTAAGGTGGCTCACAACCACCTGGAACTCCAACTCCAGGGATAGCTGACACCTCTGACGTCCAGAGGCACCGGTACTCATGTGCAAATATTCACATAGATTCAAATGCATATACATATTAAAAAATTAAATATATCGGTTTTAAAAGAGTCATCCCAGGAGCTTATGAAAATGTCAGTTCCTGGGTCCTGCTCCAATGTCCCCAGGTCTGAAGTATGATCCAGGAATCTGGGTTCAAAGAAGGCATGATAAATGCCTTTGTTACTTAGGCAAGGTTAAGAGCCACCTCTATGGTGCCACCATTCTGCAGAAATACCTGCAATGGGGCTTTAAAATCTATCTGAACCAAAGGAAACAGAGAGGTTAAGTCAGAAGAGATGACTCCTCTACTCGTTAGTTTTAGGTCATCCTGGGAAGAGGATGCTTAAATTGAGAGAATGTCTGTATCAGATTGGCCCGTAGGCAAGTTTGTGTGGGTATTTTCTTGCTTAATGATTAATGTAGGAGGGAGCAGCACACTGTGGGTGCTGCCACCCCTGGACAGGTGCTACCAGTGTGTATGAGAAAGGAAGCTGAAAATGACCCTGAGATGTAAACCAGTAAGCAGATTCCACCATGGCCTTTGCTTGAGTTCCTAGCTCCAAGTTCCTGCCTTGATTAAAAGTTCCTGCCATGACTTCTTGAGTGACAGACTGACCTGGGATGTGTAAGGAAAACCAACTCTTTCTTTCCTAAGCTGCTTTGGGCCATGGTGTTTATCATAGCAATAGAAAAGCAAACTAGGAAACCTCAGTTGAAGAATACAGAGTCAAGTCCAGAACAACTCAATGGTCAGAGAAATCCACAAATCTACAATGGGTTCCTTGCTGCTGGTTTTCTCTGTCTATCTGTTTAGATTCCCCCATCAAAACCTCTGGATTTTAATCCCTTCAGAGCTGGGGACCTGAGTAATTAAACATTAAGAAAGCAGAGCTCAGACTTTCTCTCCCCTTTCAGCCACTTCCTGATCATCTCTACATAAAATGTCAGGTTAATTTCAAGTAGCCAGGGACATTCAGGTTCACTTCCAATTGGATACACTGATAAAGGAGAAGGGAGTAGAAGAAAGGGGTCTAGGAGTTAAAGATAAGCAGGTGAGTGCAGGCTGCACAATTAGCTGTACACATTCTCACTTCAGTTCTCCCCTATGCCATCAGAGGTTAGGGACCATATGTAAGTATGTATGCATCTATGTATCTATGTATTTATCTGTCTATCTGTCTGTCTATCTATCTATCTATCCATCCATCTGCATGCATGTGAGACATCAAGAGAGAGAGCACATCAATGGGTTTCTAAAACATATTCAAATGTTTATCATCTAGTAGACCCTGCCTTGTCATGTTTGAAGACCCATTAAAGAATGCCAGGCACTGTTGTTCAGTCTCCATAGTCGGGAGTGTCAATTTAGTAAGAGAAGTTGAAAAAACACTAATCTCAAAGTTTGGTTTATTCTCTTGCTTGTCCTCTGAAGTTTCTTCAAGATGTTCCTTCCTGCAACCGCCCTTCCCCAGCACAGAAGCCCTACTCAGCCTTAAAGTTCAGCTCAGGTGCTGCCTTGCCTCAATACTCCTGTCTCTCTGATCTCACCTTATCCTTGACATTCTCTACACACCATGATACCAAACCTTAAACTATACCATCTTACTGTGTATTGGAAGTGTGTCACAAAAGCCTTTCTGTCCAACCAGAGATAATAAATATACCTTATACTCAGGAAAATGATGAAGACATTGATACACCCAAGAGAGCAAGTAGAAATCCAGCACTCAGGTGCCTCAAATCCTCAGAGAGAGATGTTTATGTTCCTTTGCATTGTTAAAACCCTTCTTTTCTGGTATAAGTTGGCAAAGGTGAGAAGGTACACAATGCCCAGGATCATAAATATAATCTTTCAGAGCTAACTCATCCCTGGGAATCAATGTTGGTTCTCAGAAATCCCACTCAGGGACCCAAAAGGATATATCCACTTCTGCAATAGTCTCCTTGAAGAGGGCCATATAGCACCCAGTGCAAGGTGAAATGACTGAAGGTAGCATGAGGAAAAGGATGCTAGGAGTCAGAATGCAGGATGCAGGAATAATACAGCAGTTCCCATATTAACTTGACTACTTAAGATCTTTCCTTAGGCTTTCTTAATGACTTTGAAAACACAAGTTAGGGTCAGCTTTTAGTGAGAATAATCATTACACATGAATGAAAGTCAATTCTGATGTAATTTCAGCCATAGAAAGCCACAACTCGGTCAAGAAGGAAGGGGGTGGTCCAGAAACTGTAGTTTGAAATAAAACATAGAGCTGTGGGTTCTAAGGAGGCTTATTAATGCCTGGTGCATCTGGAACATTTGTTAAATGTTTAGCCCTAAAACTGAATGATCCAGTGAATACATACATTGAAGCCTCCCAGTGTGTTTAAAAGGCTAATATAACTCAGCAGAAAATTGCCTCCAAACTCTTACATTAGTTTCAGAGTATTGTAACGCTATCTTAAGCACACATTCACTTGTATTACATGGCATTCATATTCATATTATCCATTAAAATATTGCAACTTCCATGGGGGAACTTAGTTCTTCTTGTGTCTTTCATCAGGCAGTATAGAAATGACAACAACCCATCCTTAAAAGCAAATTGGAGAGAGAAGTTAGTTCCATTCATGATACCAGAACCTCTTGGGCCACCTGAGGAACGAATGAAAGAAAGGCATGTGGCCTCAAGAACGTCACTGAGCCTTAGATTCCTCATCTAATTGTCTCAACTATAACACGGTGAGAAATAACAGTGAGATTATGGAGACTAAATGGAATCTTCTACAGAAAGTACAAACCAAATGACTGGCACATAGTCAATGCTCAAGTAATGCTATACCATGGACTGACTACACTTAAGTTTTAGGAAAGGTCCATAGATTGCTACTAATTCTGCCTAAACCATGCCCCTTTCAATAAAACCTTATCCACATACACACAAACCAGGCCAAATTTTTTTCAGACAGCACATTCCATGCCAGAGTCAGAAAATCCAGAGTCCAGCCTCTGCCAACCTTATTAGTTTTGCTAAATATTTCATTCTAGAGTCTTCAGAAAGCAGGTCTGTCTCTTGCTCACTTTCTCCCTCCCTTTCCCTGTCAAACCATTACACATGGATAAGAGGGCTCACAGGCTGCTATTGAATAGTGCATGGGAACAGGAAACAAAATACAATCACTGAGTATCAGCATCCAACTTCCAAACACCAGAAGAATATATCAGAATAAGTGACAAAGCCCATCAAATGAGGATGCTTGTCCCTTCAATTCAGTTCTTAGTATTTCTCATATTTGTTTTACAACTACATTCTCCTGGGACCCAAGAGTTGGAAGGGCCAATTATATTGTTTCATAATGGACCCTGACTTGTATTTGTGAGATACTAGGTTTAGTTTTCTAGCAGAAGCAGTGAAGGTTTGAGTTCTGTTTGTGGCAAGCAATGTGGAGACCATCAGTGTCCTTTCTCAGGAGCTGTCCTCCATGTGTGACTGGTGAAATGTGTGATTCAGACGAAGGAAAGTTATACAGCTGCAAGCAGCACCCACCCCCTATACCTGATCTCTCATCAACAAGCCTTCATCCCCAGGTTTGTTTACTTGCTTTAGTTTGGTTTATATCCCACTGATTTCAAGTTAAAGCATTCATCACTGATCCTACAAAAAAAGTAGGACCTGCCAATTTGATAGTACATACCAGAAGGGTGGGGCTTCTGGGCAATCAGTTGGCATCTCTCTCATACCCCTTAAACCCAGAGAACCACCCACTCAGGATCACATATATTGAGGAAGGTTGCATCTTCATCCTTTTCCCTAGAGAAGATAGAGTGATGGGGGTCCACTAGGCAGCTGATCCTGAGTTACTCAACTCACCCTTTGAGCTTCAGCTCTGGCTTTCTTGTTCTTTCCATCAAGAGACACACAGTAGAGAAATTCTCTGAGTGCTTCCTCCACCTTGCCTAGGGTGGCCAAAGCTTGTGCTTTTCTGAAGTGTGCCTGTAAGAAAGCATTAGCAGTGAATCACATCCTAGTTACCTTCTTAATGCAGCTACTATCAACAGTGATTTCTGAGTACTCACCAAGCAGTCACTAGCGGGTGGGGTGTTGTCAAAAGACTTTGGCTTTCATTCTAGTAACATTAGCAAACTATTCAGAATCCCATTTTAAAGACAACAAAAGGGGATCCAGAGAAATAACTTGACCAAAGTACAACAGCTAGAAAGCTGTGAAGTCTAAGTTTAAACCTGGGATTGACTATATACAAAGCCCATATTCTTAGCTTCTATGCTTACTGACTCCTCTCCATCCCACAACTGAGGATCACAAACACATCAGAGTCTCCATTGAACCACAGGCTACAATAGCTCAGTTCTCAATGTTCGTGCAGAGATGACTTGCCTCTCTTTCAACTAGTCTGGAAGACTGGTGGCTTGAGGTTGCCAGTTGCTTTTACAGAGACCCGAGAGACAGACAATGGACCCTCCAAGATCTCAAAGGTCACTAGCAGCAATCTAAGACTGGAACTGTGATCTCAGGACTTCCAGAGCACTCTTCTCCTCAAAGTGCAACCACCTTCCAGAAGTCTGAACAGTGACTGAGCCAATGCTTTTGCTTCTGGAAACTTAGCTATTTTTTCCTCTATTGCACATTTTCCAGACATAAGGAAATTTTATTGCATCAGAATTAAAACCCAAGTGCTGGGGTGTAGTGATATATTTATTATTTACTAAAACTTGCCTGCAGATTCAAAAAGCAAAATCAGCTTCAAGTTATAGAGGTCAGGCTACACACCTTTAATCCCAGTAGCCATAGAGCTAGGTAGGTGGTGGTGGTACACACCTTTAATCTTAGGACTCAGGATACAGACAGACAGATCTCTGTTAGTTCAAGACCACCCAGACCTACACAAGATCGATCCAGTCCTAAAGAGAAACAGCTCACACAAACATGATCTCAGCACCCAGGCTCACACACCTTTAATCTCAGAATTAGGTGGGTATATAAAACAAGAGCAAGGTCTCAGACCTGTCACTCATTTTCCAGGCACCCTGAGGAGAGTCGGCAGGACCAGCCCTTTCAGCCTGAGGTAGTAGAAAGAGCTAGTGGCCTGCTACTTTGCTTTTCTGTTATTCAGCCTGAAGCTTGAAACCCAATATCTGTCTCTGGGTCTTTTACTTTTCATATTACACTGTGGACTAAATTCTTTAGAAGGGCCTGAGCAAGGAAGAAGGAAGAGTAAAGGGTTCCCATCTCTTTGTGCCAAGTCTGAATGAAAAGGCCCAGGTGTCACTTTTCCGGTGATCCTCTTCCTCATCTTCTAACATATGTCTGCATGGTGTCAGGACCTGGCTAGGAGTTGCTTTCTTGAGCAGTGGTTACAGCCACAAACCTCTTGGGGACTTCTGTCTACGCCCTCCCTTCTTTCTGGATCCTAATCTTGGCCGCCACACTCCCTTGTTGTTCCTGCCAAGAGTATCCTTCTGAAGGAAAGCGAGCAGGGCACTGCAGAGCAGCTTTAGGGGGATAAGTGCTGGAAACTGGAGAGGCCTCTGGGTTCCCAGTAATGAACACAGTAGCAACTCACACACCCTGCTTCCGCACGGTGGCCAGCTTACTCCATTGCTAGCTGTATTACTAGCGAGCTGCTTTGAATGACATTAAGCCCTAGATAGATGGGTGAAATTGGGCTGCCTAATGGATTTGCTCCTTTATGGCATTTCACCAAAAAAATAAAAAATAAAAATAGTGTGAAATACAACAAACAATCTGTAGAGGTATATTCATTATACCCTTTTAGCCACCAAGGCAACAGAGTTCTCTGAACTTTCCCTTTCCCTTTCTCTCAATTGTGGGGAAATGAAACCCTGCAGAGTACTTGCATCAATTTTTTCTTTCACTGGAGAAATGTCTTTTCTCATTGCATCTAGAACCTGTTTTCAGTCCTCTTCCCATCAGGGTATGTAGATTTAGTTTCCTGTGCAAAAGGCTATAAGAGAAGCCCCTCTTGCCCTGAGGCAGCTCCCTGTCTTGAATGTTAGCCTGTCCCTATGGCAGTTTAATTTGTATTAAGTTGTAAATGTGTTCCTAGGGAAAAGAACACACTGATAGTCACTATCCATGAAAACTCTCTTATGAAAGACCAATGAGATTCACTTTAATATTATAGGCTCACTGTAAGACTCCAGCCTGGCCTCAAACACATGGTCTTCCTTGGATTACAGGCACATGCCACCACACCCAACTTTACAAGGCCTTATCTGAAGTTCCTAGATCTGAAAAACTTCTGGTTATCCAATGCTTTCATAGGTTTTACATCAAAATGCATTCGGCAGCAACATCAGAACTAAACTGATGTAAAGTGTTTTGTAGTATTTATCCTATTCAGTGTGATTTTTTGCATGTAAATTGCTTCAGAGAGTATGTTTAATTAGACTGACTGGGAGGCTGTCTGGAGATTATTGACGGTATTGCCTAGTCCATGGTTTTCTACCGTTAGAAACAGTCTGAATTCATAGGACACTTGTTCCCATAAGATTCAGATAGATACAGTGACCCTAGTCTTGGAGACACTGCTTTTCCCACCCTCGGGTTGTACACAGAGGACCTTAAACCAAGCTCCTGTAATGTTTATAGCTTACAGAATGTTCCATTTGTCATTCTCACCTTTGATCCTTATGCTTACCTATGAAGCAGTCATGGCAGATAGCAATAGTGTATTTAACAAATAAGAACACTTGAGTGTCAGAGAGTGTAGCCACTTCCCCATTGTCACACATTGAGGCCCAGACCTTGTTCTAGTCTTTTAAACAAAATACAGACATGTGGAGGAGGTTGGTCCTGATGCCAGGTAAAGATGCAGAAAGTGGTACTTTGTTTTCAAGTATCCCCTGTTTTGATGTCTATCCTGTCTTTCTTCTCTCCTCTCCTGTGTGACCTAGATTTTTTTTGGGGGGGTATACATACTGACATGTCAAATGACTGTATTAATGATTCAGAATGGCACAACCATTGTGTGAATATGAAGATCTCTTTAAGGAAAGCCATTTAAGCTCTCAGGAAACCTGGCTATCAGTATTATCAGTATACAATCATAAGGACCAGGGCAGTAATATCTTTCTCAGATCCCTCTCCCTATTATGCCTAGAAAATTATAAGAGTGATGACGATGGTGGTGGTGATAGCATACAGTTACATAATGCTACATGCATCGTTCCAAGCATCTTCCCTGCATGATCTTGTATAATCCCCACAACAACCCTGTTCAGTATTGCTTTTAATATAAGCATGTTATAGACGAGGGCATTAGACACAGAAAAATTAATTAATTTTCTCAAGATCATACAGCTAAGAAACGTTGCAGAGCTGAAACATGAAGTCAGGCTGTCTGGTACTGATTCCACAGTTTGAAAAAAAAAATTATGAAGACCAGGCTATCCTGAATGTCACCAACTGAATGTAGACTTGTTGAGAACTTTTGCAGACTTATACCTCCCTTTACTAAGGGATTTCCTGCACTGTCCAAATCATTCAGAAAGCCTTCTCCCTGTTCTTCCCAAGATCCACCATCTCCATCCCCAGAGGAACAGCTCTTCCTGACAGTCCCTTTCTGCAGTACAGCCCCTTCCCATCCCTCCTGTTCCACACTCACCTTAAAACCCATTGGCCGAAGTTTACATGCTATTTCTGCATCATGCAGTGCATCCTCATGAGACTCCAAGGTGAAATAAATTTGAGACCGATTGCTGTAAAGCAAATGGTCATTTGGAGCTGCCAAAATGAGAAAAAAAAAAGCCCTCATTAATGGCCCCCGGCACAAGTCCTGTATGAGGATGGATCTTGAAAGATAGGATACCTAAACTCTTTCTACTGGACAAAAAGGGTTAAATGTCATTTCCAGTCTTAATATTGCCCTGACTTTAACACCCTAGCTTCTCCACGTAAAGCAGTAATGTTGCCCTCCTATTTCAAGCGGGTCCCAGGAGGTGTGGTGTCCATAATGCATTAGAAACTCTCATGTAGAGAGAAACCTGACACTGTTCTGCCAGATGAGTGATGCACATTGCGAGTGTCCAGCAACCTGGCTCCTGAATGAGCCACCATCAGAAAAGAATGAAACCAGGGAAGAGAGAGAGGCAACCAGATGTGACCCCTATTTGGACACCCAACAAAACAATAGCGGAACTACCTGTGCCATTAACTCCCCCTCTCCGCAATGGCCAGTGCATATGAAGATTTCCTGGAGGAAACAGATATGCATTTACAACGTCCATGCTCCCATCGATGGCCAAATGAGAAAGTACCTTGACAAGGCTTTTAGGAGTCTTACTCTCACCATGACTGAATCACTAACGTTCAGGCCTGGATAGGTCTTCTACCCACCCATTCTTCAGATAGGAAAATCAAGGCCAATGAAATGAAGTGATAGGGCTAGAAGTCACACAGCTGGTTAGGGTCAATGTTAGTTGATGTTTAAGTTTTGAGGCTTGGGTGGAGGGAAGTTCCTTTTTCTAAGTGTGAGCATAGCATTTAGAATAGTAAAATACCAGCCATTTCCAGGATAAATATAGTCTATTGAAGAGGCCCCCTTTCCTCTTAGAAGGGTGAAGATGGTATTTGCATTGTTGCCCTGACTACTCCAAGGAGATTAACAAAGGCAAGATCCTGCTGAGGAAAGTGGTGACAGGGATAGAAGCAGAATGTGGAAAGAGGCGTTCCTGTCCAGGCCTTGGGGAATGGCCAAAGGGAACACAGCTTCTCTCCATACATAAATGGCCAGAACCTATTTCATCCATATTGCTGCATTCTTCCTCAAGTTCTGGGATACAGCTTCTACTGCCTGAAACAGGCTTTGATGTGTGCCTCTACCCCTCCCCTCAGGAGTGGGCTCAGGGAGGACCTGGGTGCCCATTGTTTGCTCTTGACTTTAGCATAGAGTTTATATTCTTCTCTGCCACTTTTCTGAAACCCGCTGTAGCCCACAACCTGCTTTGTGTAGGTACAAACAGGTTATGTGTTTCTGAGTGCATTTGTGGCCTTCAGTTATCACATCCCCTCAGCCCTGGTTTTGTTCCCTCCAACATAACCTGTTGCTGGCTTGAGTGGGATTCAACATGTGGAGATTCCAACCCATCCCTCCTCCATCCTAGGATTCCACATCCCAGTCTGCTTAGCTTCACTGCCTCCTCCCCAGCATGATTCTCTGGACACTGCGCCCTGCCTGCCTGCAGAGGTGCTGGCAACAGCTTGTGGTTCCAAGGCTACTTCCTGGGTCTACGTGGGAGGAGGCAGGCGGAGCAAACAGGTCCCTGAGAGAACTCCTGGAGAGTTCTGGGACTGCCTGAGTTGCCCTTGAAGCTAAAAAGCCCACCCTACCTCTTCAGGCAACTTGTGGAGAAGGTAGACAAAAGCATGCCCCCCCCCTTTGTAGACGGTCCCTTGTTTCCTTTGGAATCACGAGGAGAAGTTGCCTGGTCCTGCTGCCCATTGGGTTAGAGGGGTCAAAGGGTCTGATGTCAGGGCACAGACTGTCTGACTGTGGCGGGTGGTGGTGGTGGGGGCAAGTGCATCTATTTCAGCCAAGCATCGTGTGATAGGAAGCGGTGACAATGAGTCACAGGGCAGCAGGGAGCGAGCTCCCCCCCCTTCCGCCCCCCGCACACGCTCGCGGGATGCTTTCCGAGGAGAGCGTGGCCCACTTTGGTTACCTCAGCGTTACACAATCCCCGCCTGCCCGCCTGCCCGCCCGCCCGCGCGGAGGAGGGGCCGCCGGCCCGGGCGGCTCGAGGTCCTTATGCAACCAGTGCTCTCCTGACCTAATTCCAGGCCGGACCCACCCCACAGGGAGCCGCGGCCCCGGAAGGGACAACTCCCAGAGACGGGAGCCGCAGACTCGGGCGCCGCCGGGCCACCTCTGGTCGGCAAAAGCCAGGAGGACCGCGCGGGAGTTTGAGAAATAGTGCCAAGTTCTTCTCCTGGCAGGGAAGGTACCGGCAGGTGTAAGACGGAGCTCTGAAGTGTCCAGGAAAGAGAGAAATAGAGACGGTGACACTGAGCAAGGCAGAAACAATGGCAACAATGAGAAGAGACGCTCGAAAAGAGGAATGGAACGAAACATATAGAAACTGGGACCGGAGGCATAGAAACACAAAAGCAAGCGTAAGATACGCAAAAGAAAAAAAAAAAAAAAAAAAAAAAAAAAAAAAAGCAGTAGAAAAAGAGACACGGAGGCCCAGCCAAAGGAAGCTAAAGTAGGGAAGCCAAACTCCTAGAAATGTCCCTCCTCCTCCTCTTGGGCCACAGCCACTCACCCCACCCCCGACCTCACCCCTACCCCACCCCCACCCCCCACGCGCGCTCCAAACTCTGCCCTGGTCCATCCCCCATCTTGCAGCCCGGTTCATTCTCCCGCCCCCTCGCGTCGTGACCAAGCCCTCCCGGCCCGGTAGCAGCGCGGAGGACTCACCCAGCCGAACTGCCTCGTTGTATTTCAGCAGAGCTGCCTCCACCTGGCGCTCACGATACAGCTGGTTGCCCTCGTGCCGGAGTTGCGACGCCCGCGCGGGGCCCGGGAACAACTTGCCCAGAAGGCCACTGAGTACCACGTTGACTCTCAGTTGCAGTGGTGCCGGCTGCCCAGCCCGCCGCGTCCCGCGTGCCCTCCCGCTGGCCACCATGAGAGCCGAGAGCTTGACCCCGCACAGCGCACAGCGCCGGTCGGCGGCCCGCCCACGTTCCAGGCACAGTTTACAAAAGGTGTGGCCGCACCACAAGGACACGGGGTCTGAGAGAAATCCGTGACACTTCCGGCACTTAAAGCCATCCCATACCTCGGGGGCCACGGCCGCAGCCTCCCCTGCCTCTTCCACGGCCACCTTGCAGCAGTTTGAGGTGCCGCTCTGGTCCGAGGTAGCTGGCGCCACCATCCCCTTTTGCGGGACGCTCTCAGCCAGGCAGCGCACCAGCTGCTCCAGCTGCTCAGCCACTAGCTGTTGCCTCTCAGAGAGCTGCCGGTACACCTCGAGGGCTTCCCGAAGGCGCCCCCCGGATGCCAAGGCATCCGCCTGTGTGAGGAGGACTTTGCACTCTGGCGGCGTCGAGGTCCCCGGAGGCTGCGTTTGCTCCAGCTCTTGCGTCGGGGGAGGTTCAGAGCCCTCGGGAGACGCCTCTGGGTGGGCCACCGGGTCTCCGCTGGCCACTGATGCCGCCCGCTCTTCCGGCTCCGCCAGCTCCGCCAGTTCTAAGTTGTTGCTGCCGAGCTCGGCGGGCAAGCTCAACATCTGTGCAGACTGAAATGAATCCATAGAGAGAGGGACCTACGGAGGTTGAGGGGGGGAGGCGTCTAGGAACAGGGAACTAGCTGGAAAGAGCGGCAGCTGGAAGCAATCTGCGCTGCCATGAACGCGGGATCGCAGCGCGCCCGGCTCTGCCTCGCCTCACGAGCTCCATGCCGGCTGCCCCGCGCCGCCTAATAACTGTCTTGTCTCAGCAAAGTGTTATATAAAACGTGACCACGTGACACCCCACCACGCTGCTCATTGGCCGGCAGCGGGGAAATTGTTACAAAACCAGACAGTTTTGTAACAGCGTTGCGCTTGCTTCTTTTGGCTTAGCGTTTCTTGGCTTCTTTTTTTGAGGTTGTTTGTGTTTACTCTTTATTTCCCACTCGCGACTTGGATCCTTTCTGGACCTGGGAGAGGAATGCAATCTCTTCTTCCACACTTTTCCATCTCTAAACTCTTTCCCATCCCACCTCTAAAGTAGCCAGCAAACAGGTCCGCTCTGCCAGCCGCTTGCTAGAGTCCCCTGCCCAGAGAAGCCGGTCCCAATAGGCTCCAGGCACAGGATCTGCTGGAACTCCAGTCTCCCCTCCAGGGGGCGATGGTTGCGGTGTGCACACGGAATGGGTAGCCGAGGGGCGCCCAAGAAGCCCTCACTCTTTGTTCCCTAGAAGAGCCTTAAGTGCCTGCACCGAAGCTCCTGAGTTTCCTGGGGGAATTCCCTCACAGAGACTTAGGGCAGTTTCGAGAGAGTTCTTTGTTTCCCACTTAGACTGCGAATCCCCGAGCCAAGGGTCCAACAGATGAAAAAAGTTGGGCAGCCCGTGCTATGCCATGCCCGGCAGCAGGGAAAGCACAAAGATCCGGATTGCTGACTGGGACCCCAGGGAGTTGCCCTCCAGCCCTCCTCCTCTTTTTCTCCCCTAACTCTGAACGGAACCTGTTGTGGAGCTAGCAGTGGGCACCCAGCAGGAGATTCGCTGGCCCCAGGACCCAAGAGGCCATTTGGGCACACCCTCCAGAGCTAAGTTTGTTGAATCTGGTGGACACTCGGGGGCGTGAGAGAGTATCGGGTGGAAGACATGGGGCCAAGGCAGAGCAAATCCAGAAGAAAGTCAGAGAATTCAGGTACAGCCCAGCTACCAAACAGCCCACAGGTTCATAGGAAGTAACTTCTGGCAGAGGTGCCTCACCATAGGACATGCACCCTTGGGCTAGGCTGGACTTGGGCAAGCGGGGGTGGGGTCTCAATCAGGCAAACATTTTTAAATGCCAGACTAGTTACAAACCACACAGAAGCTTACTGCCAGCTCCTGCATTTCAGACCAGAGCCGTTAACAAAATGAACAGACAGGTTTCCATACATAAAGGAACACCACTCTTCAGGGACAGTTGTGCTGCTACTCCAAGAAGGAAGAAGGCAGAGCTCAAGATTACTTTCAATTGGCCTCCCCCTCCAGTGCCTAGAGGTCCTGCACAGTGTTCAAAAGAAGATTCCCAGCGAAGTGCCACCAAGTTGACTCCTGCTGTGGTCATTTAGCTGGGGGACTTTGGTCAATAGCATCAAAACACTTTATTTTCGCTGCTAAACAAAAGTCTGGGATGGTTTTAGCTGGAATAAAATTTTGTTTCAGAGTTGGGATGTCAGACTCTCTCCCAGCACTGAGATCCTTAATCCAGACATAAGCCAACCAACACCAAGGTTCCAGAAATTAAGTACAGATACTGTGTGCAGCACACGCTCTCTGGTCAGACAGGACAGTAAGCATGGGACAGAGAAGTGAAGGAAGGCAGTTTATAGACTAAAAGTGAGTAAGAAATGAAAGTAGGCTCCGGATACAACCAGGAAGGCAGGATCAACATAGGAAAATTTGGTCTAGTCTTTGCTTTGTCATGATTCACTGTCAAACAGACCCTGAACACATCCTTGGGGTCCAAGGTTTCCTCCAGTCCTAACCTTGAGTGTTCTTGCTCCTAAAACCAGATTTTAGGTGTTAAATGCCAAATCCCAAATAACTATACCATGTACCATGGAGGGGAACAGGCAGAGGCTTGGTACTGGAGACAATTCAGCAGCAGCAAATACTGTCCTCTATCAGAGTCCAGCCTGAACCAGAGTTTGAAGATAGGGAACCCATTAGGAGATGGGCCAGGAGATGGAGGAGGTGAAGAAGCTGTAGCTTCTGGTGGCTTGTCTAGGATTGGGACACTCCCTTCACCCCTTAGTTTACTCTAGTGTCAGATGAGGTACCCAGAACCAGCTCTATGCCTACCACTTCTGGCATATAAGGAAGTTAGATATAGAACTAAGGAAGGACAATCTGTAGGACACAAAGAGATAAATATGAAAAGATCCATGACACCAGTAACAATGAAACCTCTTAATTTAAAAGCATTATCCTTTTGCCATCTTCAAAACATTTCCCCAGATTGTTTTCCAAAGATAGAGATGGGGGTGTACCTTGCTTCTCAGACCACTCTGTCAAGTAAGATCCTTAACTTTATCCATCCTTAACCAATTGTGATGGAGAAACAAGGATGTCAGACAGGCTGGGCAAAGGATGACAGTCCTACGCTACGAAGCATGGACAAGGATGTCCTGTTCATAGGAGACCTTCTGAATACCTGCATGTGCATGACACTGACTGTGGATTTGGTTAGGAATATTTCTGCTTGTCAGGGCAATGTAGGGTGCTCTGGTGTAAAAGGTAGCTACACCTAGCAGGCTGTCTCCACAAAAGAGCTTCACACTGTGGTCCACTGTAGTAGACTATACCCAATGAGCATTCCACTAAATGCTGGGAAAAACTACTACAGCACTTGTCTTTCCTTCTTTATTTAAGTTAAACAAACACTAGTCTCATATACATTTGGGGATCAAGTCTCCTACTGAAAATAACCTCTTCTATTCTCTTAGTAATAACTGGAGGATCTTTGGAGTGAGGGTAGGTGGAGGGTGTTGGCAGCATTTGTTTTCAGATATACAGTCCCCACTTAACTTATTTTGTTAAGATTGCACATGGCCAAAATGAATTGGGAAGAGAGCAAGAATTGAAGTACTTCTCACTTTCTACTGCCTACAAGGAAAGTGTCCCAGTTAGGCTCCCAGGAAACTTCCCGGGTCCCAGGGAGAAGAGTAAACAGGACCAGACCTCAGCTTTCCTCAATCATCACAACTACCTCATTCATCTAGTGAGCTTAACATACAATTTCATTAATGATATCTCTTTAAAATAGGTTTGGGAGTCACTGACATTTTCATTCACTTTCAGAAATTTGAGTATCACCTACTTAGAAGAATCTACTCCTAAGTACTAGAGCTTTCTGTAAGCAACCCTTAGCTCCCATGTGTTTTTTTATGGACAGTAGCACATCTTTTTCCCCATGTCTATGTACTGATTTTCTGAGTAAACTAGATGTTCCATGAAGTAAACAACAAAACAAAACAAAAACTAGTGTCTTGTGTCGTTCTTGTCCCCCTCAGAACACATCACTTGAACAGGTTTTCTCAAATATAACATTATTTCTCAACAATAATGAATATTTTAGTCTAGACTGGAAACCTACAGAGGGGCAGGCAGAAATCCAGCTCAATGAACCTCTGCACCAGCTCATTCATAAAAGACCAGAGCAGGCACGTAGACAGTGAATGTTTAACATTCCTGGGATGAAAGAATCCAGTCAAAGCCAAGGACACAGATGAGAAGTGAGCAGCTTTCTCCCCTCCACACAGACGATGCAAAGAACCTTGGCCAAATCGCTTATTTTTTTCTGTACCCAAGTTTCTCATTTCAGAACCTGGGATCGATTTACACTCCTAAAAGACATTCACATCTTCGTATGAGAAAAAGGCTGCTCATTGCTATGCAGAATAACCCAAGCCCAGCCCTGGTTTCACAGATGAGGAAATTAAATGCCAGAGAAAGCTAGTGACTTACTGCAAGTCACAATAGGAGTTTAGGACACAGCCAAGATTAGAAGCCAGGGCTTCTGTCTCTATGAGGATTTTCCCATGTGATCATTTTGCTTCCAAAGGACACAGAGCATCTGTCCAAATAAGTAAGAAATTATGTCAGATTTCCTATCTCTAAGACTTCCATCAGTTCAACTAATACACACTGAAAATGCACTGTGTGCTAACGAAGCTGGCATTTTGGAGCAATAATAATAGGCTATGATGTACACGCTCCCTACGTTCCAGTAGCTCCATGAGGAAATGAGAAGGGAAGATCTGAAGCAGTTAAGTGAAGATAACAGGCAGTATATAATAAGTGCCAAGACTGGAGGAACAGTGTGTTTATGGGGAAGCTCAAAGACAACAGACTGTGGCACTTCCCATCTCACAAAAGAAGGTGCCTGTCAGTTAGGGGCTTTGAACAGCTGCTTCTCAACTCAAGGGGGGGGGGCTCCATCTATATTGGGGCTGGGTTCCCTGGGGAAATGGGGGAACATTCCAAGCTGAGCTGGGTCAAACCCCAGGGCATCTTTTTTGTGATACTGGAGATTGAACCTAGGGTCCTCCGCATTCTCTGCAGGTGCATTATGCTGTACTCTCAGCCCAAGCGTCTGTAGTTTTTAAAGTTCTCCAGGAGACTGTGAGGCTCCAATTGGTCTAGTGTTCACCTGTGGAAATAATGAGGTAGGTCCTTCTTTCTCTCCTTCATCCTCAGTATCCCCAAAAGAGCCTGGGATATCAAGAGTTCTTTGCTACATTTGAGTGGAGGGCAAACTGATGATCTAGAGATTTCCAATGGTGAGGACTCTTGCCAAGCATGAGGCAAAGCAAGATCATAAAATACTAAACCAAGGAAGCTTTGTTACATTTATTACCAAGACAATTCAGAACTGCTTCCATAGCCAGTGAAGCTGTTGTCCAAAGTACAAAAATGGAGCAAAGTTGTGGAGCTGGCATCCGTGTAAGAAAGTCAGAGAGAGGTTTTTGGGTTTTGTTTGTTTGTTTTTTTGTTTTTCCCTGCTGGGAGCGTACTGTTTTAACTTCACTGTGTGACTCAGCCCAAGCCACTTTCCCCTTTTCTTTATGTGTGTTCTTTCTTCACCTATTAATAATGATGTCCAACGGTCACTGTCAGGATTAGCTA